ATCTAATCAATTTATGGCACTTTTCAACCTTAGAGACATTCATGCAATTCGCACACGTGCAAGTGAAGTAGTAGCGCTCGGTAAGCAATTTCTGCCGTTCTTTCGTAGAGGCCAACAGATCGATGTAGCTTATGGTATTCTAAACAATGAAAGAAGAATTGAATGGTCAATCTGTCAATTACTGTATTTTCAGTAAAACTCTCGCAGCACAGCCAACAATTAGAGACATTTTGATATTTGGTGAAGGCAACACTGACACGACGGTAAGAGCAGGGATATACGCTAATCCCGAGGAAGCAAAGAGTAAGAGAGGTCATAGTAGCTGACAGTTCAAATATACTATTAGGGCACGACGACAGAAGATAGACAGGTTAAACAATACGGTGGACTTCGATCACTGGAATCACGCTGAAATATTTTGACATGGTTATATATATATATCGAAGACTTAAAATGAAAACGATGCTCCTTAGAAATACCAAAAAGTTAAACCTCATTATTTCCCAATCGACAGTTATAGAAAACAACCTTGCATGGGTGATTTACTTAAAGAAATTATGCATTACTTGACTGCCGACGAAAAACAAAGAACACTTCATAAAGAGTACGCAGTAAAAAGTACGCAATTCAGAATTATATCTGCCCATAATATCCTTGCGACGATAATACGATGTCTAATACGCCATCGAACTGTATGCGTATTACATTATATTAAGCAAAATGTGTTCCAAGCCGCTTTATGCTGTCATCAAATATAAGCATCTGTTATATATCTGAAAAGCATATAGCAATAACGCAAAACGTCATTCAAGAAAATCTACTAGCTAGACTAATACCCTTTCGCAAGACCAAAGAACACAGCATACACACTAAACAATGGTTTCAAAAAATGTTTAAAAACAGTCCAAAACACGGTTCTATAACATACAAATTACTGACTTATGGGATTACAAATCAGAATCGCCCTTATTTCCAATGCTTTGGGTAGTTAACCCAATACCGTAGCCTGCGATGTGCCTTAACTTAGTGCCGCTGTAAGACATACATGTTGTTATACTAATGAAAGACCTACAACGATGGATGAATAATGCGCACTAGCGCTGGATTCAATGCATAGGAAAAATTAATTGACGGGACCATGTAAGGAATGACTCAACTGCCTTCGGGTCTGAATTATCCTCTGCACAAAGATAAGAAATATGCTGGTGAATGAAGAGCGAGTCAGATGTAGGACCGTGAAACCTCTATAAGCGGCTAATCTGGTTTATATGCAGGTCTCGCTTCAATACAGTTACTAACGCACACTCCGCCTGCATACAAGAAACAAATAAGCATCTCGCAATTTCAGAACAATCGACTTGTTCTCTCAGCTCTATCTATCGTATCTTTAGACATTAGTCGACGTGACAGGCAAAATCGCCATTCACTGTACAAACGAACGACGGCTTCAACATAAAACGAAGACGAACTGCGAAGACAAGTATACTTAGACAGTACGATTATCCAAAAGAAATCGTTTGCTCTCCACATCACAAATATCCAAAAAATACGTAAACGCGACTCATCAAAACTAAAGTCTATGTTTAAATGAATTCGGACTGGATTAGGCCGCTGCAACAACAGGTTCCACTGATGGAAGATGAAGCATGGTAGACAGTGCGACTGCAGTCTTAGAATGAAGCCATACAACACTTAGACTCCAAGGCCTATATCGGAATTCAGTAGGGTATGCCTGTATCCAGAAAACAGCTGCAGAAGTTATCAGCTGGCGCAGAAATTTTGATATTTCGATATTTTGCTGGTCACGTCATAAAGTCATATGATGAAAGAATAAGGGAATCAACTTGGGTTCTGCCTTCAGTAAAACAGTCAGTTTCGTCCTTGGTTTTAGTTTTAATGCTTTACACTCTGCGCTGAGTTTAAGTCGGAAATTACGCATGTCAATGCGAATTACAGCTCTAATGCGCACGTGTCACATAACGTAGCCGTACATCCTGTATGAAAAAACCACTAATATAGTCAATACAATGAGCAGAGCCAAAACGGGCTTTTAAGAGTATGGTAATTGGCTATCAGGGATTTATAGGATGCTGATGTTTCGATCCGGCTCAAAGACCTTCTTGAGGGTTTTTTCCGGTAACGATGGTGTTGCTATCTAATTCAATTCATACCGATGCCTGATGATTTCTGAGGTATTGCAGCTAGCTCAAATATTCCGCTGCATGCGTGAGGCACATTCGGTCGGCGCATATTTTATCATCCGTTGGCTGTTACTGTAACTAGATTGAACTAAACTGGATGATTAACGTTTCTTTCCCACCGTACCTCCCTTCAGATCTTATCTCACAGGGTGCCTGCAAAGTTCGATCACCGGGTCTGTAGAATGCCATTCAGACGTTCGCCATTCAACAGTTTTTCAAGCGCTGCAACTTCACTTCATAAAAAGCGAAACCTTACGTTTGACTGGCTAGTTTCTTTCAAACGCTGCGTTCATCCAACGTCTTAAAATTTACAGGTGCGCTCTGACCCTCTGACTGATGGGCAGCGACATAACATAGACTGAAAAATGGCATTTGGTCTCTGAAACGAGTAACATTTCCATTCGAATGAAGGAACATCCTGAATAAACACTCTGAAAAAGGAGAGTAAAACATCGTAGGAAAAGCAAAATCACGGCTATCCTCAACAGCCCTCATTTTACACGCGATTTTATAAACCGTTTGAACCATGCTAAATCTATGATAAACAAGCGTAAATAAGGCACTCAACCTCAATCTAAAGAAAACTATTTCATCAAATTAACTGCAATTCATGTACTACTATTTATAACTGATAATATTCAAAGATTTCAACGGCCTGTTGACGGAACTTTGGACAATCCAGAGCAATCACGAACAACCTTGCTTCAAAGTCTGGGTTTGTGAAATACGTCACAAATAATCATCAGGGAGCTAATGAAAAGGCTTTCCTGTCAAACAAAGATGTGAAACCGTTAAACTGACACATCCCTGAACAACAAAGAAAGAATATGCCATGGATGCGTCAGTTCTTTCGACGGAATGGAACGATTCGACGCGGCCGTTTCGGCGCTGATCGATAATCGTTATCAACGCGGTCCTGTGGAGTGCGCTTAATTCTATATTATTTGACTGTGTTCATCTTGATCAACTGTAATATCAAATGCAAGTAATATACCCAAGAAATTCTTTGAGATTCAATGTGAAACTACTTTCGGAATAATGAATTTCTAAGGTCCAATAGCAGATGTTCATTATTTATCAACATCTCTGAGTGAGTACAACACCAAAACGTCTCTAAAGCTGCCCAATTATTTAATAAAATTTAAATTTGTAAATATCATTTAGTTTAAAGTCAACCTTTCATAGAACAACAATCAGCTCGTGTACATAGAAACTTTATTTATATACCAGATTGCATATGCAATACATCACAATATTGCACCATTCGT